CCTGGCTAGTGTGGCGATTTTTATGAACGGACAATAATTGCTTAGTCGGTAGATGCAGTGCTGCGAAGTGAGTATTACTGCAGTTGAGGTAGACATCATTAACTCTGAGAGCCAGGCAACTGTACTAGCCTGGGATATACTTGTGCTGCAATCAGGGGCTATCTCTCGTTAGCAAAGATTTATTTCTCTATACAACTGATTGCTTATCGGATCACAGCGTAGCCTCTGGAAGTATGCTGAGCTGAAGATGTCGCCGGAGGGAATTCAACTGCTGAATATCACATCAGCTTGAAAGCAAGTACGCTGATTTGCGTGCTAATCTGCCTGGAGAGTCTTGCTGGAGTTGATTTTTTCTCCGTGTCATAGCCATTGCTTTAATCAGGACTGTGCGTGGACTATGACCGTTCGATATACAACCAGTTGGAAACTTCTATTTGGGCCCTTTTCCAGAAGAGTAGCAATCTACCCAGCATTTTTCGTTTAAATTGCCTTCCGTTGGGAGACTAAAAGTTCAATATTTTGGCTTTGATATTTTCAAAAAAACCAGATGAGTTATCAGATTTCAAAGTGTACTATCCTCGCGAACTCGTAATATGAATCAAGCAGCATATATTGTGGAGGTACAGACTATAACACGGTCGTTCCAGCAATGAAGGATCTGGTGTTATAAAGAAGTAGTGATAAAATTGTTGAAATGGGAGATAGGAGTGTGAGAGTCAGCTTGGGTCATATCTCGGTGCCACCAACATCTAAAAGCTGTGGAAAATTAAGTTAAATTTTCCAACGCCCCTCGGCAGGGAATGTCCACCCCTCCGAATGTTTTTCGGACAAGAAATAGAGGGCCTCATAAAAGAACCTGCAGCCGTTCGAGGTGCTTGGTATGAACTGTAGGTCCCTCCATTTGTTGGAAAAACAATAAAGACGCAAAACCAAAAATTAGAGGAGGAGCTCGGCCGAAAATCGCTTCAACGGTTACAAAATGCCACTTATATATATATGTATATATATTCCACTATATTTATTTAAATATATTAAAGTTCTACTTTACTTCGGAAAGTCAAAACAAAAGCCAAATCCGTATTAACTTAAAACAAGCAAAAAAAATTAACAATAATAATAACAACTTAATCTCATTTCATTATAAATAACTGCATACAGATTTAAACCACAAACGCAATACAATTTATTATGCAGATAATGACAAGCTTTGCTCAAAACCTTCCCTTCCTCTTACACCAACTCAATGCCGCCCAACAACAACCCCATGAATCGCCTGCAAGTAGTGTATTTGTATGGCGATTTGTACGCTTGAGTTGCGTAAAAAGTTTTCATATTCATGATTTGCATGTTAAAATGAATCATTTTTCAAATGGTTACTGAACAAAAAACCGGACCGAACGGATGGTGGGCAAAAAATAAAAAAAAGCACAAAAATAATAATAATAAAAAGAAAAACAAAATAAAATAAAGTAAAATAAATATGTAAAAAAAAAAATATTCGTAAAATTGAAAGTGTTGGAAAGCAAAACAGAGAGCACTAAAGTAGACACTTATATATTTATACAAATTTGTATTTGTATATACTCATATAAGTATGTGTATTGCAGCAACTGTGTTTTGGCCACTGATGCGAGGCATTAAGGTTCAATTAATCTGTGTCAGCTGGTTTTTGTGCATTTGCTGTGCTTTTATTTTGCATTTTTTTAAATGAACTGTGTTTTGTTGCATACCGCCAGGTGCAAAAACTATGCAAAGCAAAATGTTTATAATAGTTTCAAAACAATTGGCTAAAGAAATTGAGCAATGTCATTTTTTAAATTAATTACTGCACGAATAGTTAGTTTTTGTTCTTATTTTGCAAATAAAAAATGGTATGTTTTGAATGGTAATTATTTCAATTAAAATGCGAAAAATTGTTGATAACAAACGTGAAGGCAATGAAAGTGCAATCGAATAGATCAAATAAATTAAATGTATTTAAATGAATAATAAGTAATAAATGGAAGCAAAATAAAATTAAAAAATAAACGAATAAAACAATAATGAAAATAAAACAAATTTTCAATGAAGCAAAAAAAAAATTAAATTAAATAAAATAAAATAAAAAAAAACAGAGAATACAAATTTTAACAAGAATATTTAATTAAAAAAAATATAGTGCAATGAAAGTAAAAAACAACTGAAATATGTATGAAAATTTAATTAAAAAAATAAATAAAATAATAAAAAAAGTACAATAGAAATAATAACTAAAAAAAAGTAATGTGAATAAAAAGGTAAAAGTTTATAATGAAAAAAATATTATAAAATATGGAAAATGGAAGCATAAACGTTATAGAAATATTTATCAACAAAAATTTAACAAAAAATATATGAAGCAACAAAATATATAAAAAGAAATGAAAAATATGTTTTACATTGAAAAATTTGTTACAGATAAAAAAAACTAGTAAAAAAAGAAAAAAAAAGTACAGAATAAAAAAAAATGAATAAAAAATTTTAAAGCCTAAAAATAATTTAATATATTATAAAAACCTTTAATCACAAAAAAAAAATTAATTAAAAATTTCAATTGGAATTAAATACATAACAGTAGTAAAGAAATAATAATTAAAAAGCTAAGCTGTAATAAAAGATTTAAAAATAATTAAAAAAATTGTAATAAATAAATAAAAATAATGAGGTATATATTTTTAAACCAATAAACTTAAAATTATTATTTAAAATTAAAAATAAGCGAATGATGGATTAAATAAAGTTAATGGGAGCAGCAAGAATTTGTAGAATAAATAAAAAATTAGTGAAAAAATTAAAGAAAGAATAAAAATAAAAAAAAAAAACTTTTCGGAAAATAAAATTATATAATAAAAAGAAGAATTAAAAATTTGAACTAAGAATACAAATAAATACCGGAATAAAATATATTAAAATAGTTAAATATAAAAGCAAAAGAAGAGTGAAAACAATAATTAAAAAGTGCTGAGAATTGCATACCAATTTGAAGCGTAAATAATATATTATATATTATATTAAACTAAAAATGAAATATAATAAATAAAAATTAATAAGCAAAAAAATTAAAAAAAAAATTTTAATGCATAAAAAAAGTGTTATTAAATAAATAAGCAAAAACTAAAAATAAAAATCAATGAGTATAAATTTTAATTAATAAGAAACTATTGAGAAATGAAAATAACACTAATAAGGAAAAACACTTTACAATTTTTTAACAAAAAATTTAAAATAATAAAGACACAAAAGCAAACAAAATTATTTCAAGAAAATATCGGAGGAGGCATAAGAGATTTCAAAATTTGTCATACAAAATTTGCCATGAAAATAAAACGTTAGTATATTAAATAAAAGGGGGTGATTAAAAACCTATGAGAATAAACAAAAATTACTATCTTTAAAAATAGTTGTAAGCAGGAATAAGCGAAATGGAATAAAAATTTATTGATGTGTACAAAAAAAATAAGAAAATAAAAAAAAAATTAATAAATTATTAAAGAAGAAAAAATAGTGCTATTTAAAGGAGCAAGATTACACTAATTAATTTCTAAACTTTTTTAAAAATATTTTAGAATCATTTTTAATATTTTTTAATAATGATATTATATAATCTTTATTACTAATATATTTTATTCTTTAATTTGAACTTATTTAATTTTTTAAACACTAAAATAAATTCAACTATGTTTCTAAGAAAATTAAATACTTTCCTAAATAAAAGGAAATAAAAATTTAATAACCTTTATTATATTAGGCTTAAAAAGAAAGAATAATAAATAAAAATACCTAAATAAATACTGATGCCGAATAAACATTAAATCTAATTTAAAAATTAATAAATATAAATTTGAAAATTTAAAGGAGACTTAAAAAATTAATTTCAAACAGAAAGAATAGAAACTAAAATATATTTCTATATTTATATAACAGGAATAAAAAATAAAAAAAACTAATGGAAAATTAAAACAAATATTAAATAAGGATAAATAACGCAATAATAATAGTAATAATAATATCACAATAAAAATAATAATAATATCAGAATAATAATAATAATAATAATAATAATAATAATAATAATAATAATAATAATAATATTAATAATAGTAATATTAATAATAATAATAATAATAGTAATAGTAATAATAATAATAATAATAATAATATTAATAGTAATAATAATAATAATATTAATAATAATAATAATAATAATATTAATAATAACAATACTGTTAATAATAATAGTAATATTAATAATAATAGTAATAGTAATAATAATAATAAGGAGGAGGAAAAAGAATATTGAAAAATCAATTTTAATGAAAAAAGTGTTAAGAAATAATATAATAAACCTAGATTGCAACGCGAAGCGTATTAAGGAATATTGTGAAAAAATTATGTATTTAACTGTTTTTGTGTGGGCATTTCCCCACTAAAGGCACACTACCTCATTTATGGTTGTTAATTTTAAAATCCCGACAAATTAATTTTTCGCCGAAACAACACAAAAAGCGCTTGCCCAAAAAAGTTTATTCTCCATATTACATTAATGATTATTATTAAAAGCGAATGTCAGACGGTCAGTGTTGGCTGTTGAAAGGCGGAGGTTGCTTAAGTTTGCTCTCTGCCTTTTGCGTCGCTATTCGCCATTATGCATAAGAATTTAGTAGGAAAATGCGCTAAAAATGGAAGCAGACAAAAGGCAAATAATGTAAAAATAATAAAAAATAAAGGAAAGAATTTATAAAATATTATGCAAAATAAAGAAAAAAAATCACATTATGCAATGAATAAAGCAAAGCTAGTAAATCAGACTACAAGTCGACCAAAGGACGGACACTTGACTCGAGCCAGCCGCGTCTATAACGTCGTGGTTTTACAGTAGTGATGATGATAGCGAAGAAAAGCACCGACAAAAAAAAATCATCTGTCTATTTTCATATTCTTTCATTTGATTCAATGTAGTGGAAATGTTAGCAGGTACTTACCGACACCGTCACGCCACTCCTCGACCCCATAATCAGGTAAGGCATTCAAGTCAAATTTATTTCTATGGCGGTGTTTACCAACTTGTTTGCGTTATTTCGTATTTTCATATTTTTTTTCGCAATTTTTTTCGCAATTTTTTTCGTGTCATAATTTTTAGTGATTTTTTAATTTTCGCGCAAAAAGCGGCAAGAGCAATGAGTTGTAGAAGAAGAGGAAACATAAAGAACGCCAAAAGGTAGACGTTCAAATATTTTTTTTTTTTGTAAATATGCATTTAAATGATGTTTTGTTTTTTTTTTCATTTATTTTAGCGTCCGTGTAGCAGACGAAAAATTGTACGGCGCACGGTGTATGCCGGACACAAAGGGGCAGGCAACGGGCAGCGACGGTGGTGAAGCGGTGTTTGTTGTCGATAAGTGGACAATGTAGACACACAAATACACAAACACACAAACAAATTGCCGTACAGAAGTGTAGGTATGTGTGCGTGTGTGTATGTGTGTTGGTAGTTGAGTGTGAGTATGAATTCAGCGGCGACGACGTGTGACGGCAGGCGAGACGTTGATTTACATGTAAAGAAAAAAGATAAAAAGAAAATAAAATAAATATAATACATATTGACATTTCGAATTTTTATTTATTTGTTTTTTTGTTGAATTTTTTTTATCTTTCAGCTAGGCATTATGGGATTTAATGTGTGTGGCCGTGCAAAAATATAATAATACTATAAAATAATATTAAAATTATTTAAATTTGACAGTTTTCACACAATAATTGCATTGCGACTACTTTTTTTGTTCTTCTACCTCCAAACGGTTGCCAGGTTATTAATATTTTTTTAAGTGAATATTGAAACTAATGCAAGAAGAAGTGATAGCTGACTGACCAATTCAAAAATAAAAAAAAAATAAAAAATAATAGTAAAAAAAATCATAAAAAATAATATTAAAAATTACACTAGAGTAAGTCCTCAGCGGTAGATGTCCCGTTCATATACCCATTTGATTCCAAAATCCTTTTTTGCTTACTTCAGGCTACAGTTTGGTCTGTCTAGTGTCCACGCAGCTCAGCAATAATTTAATGGTTCGTCTTATGTTGGAAGAGCGCCAGGATCTGAAGTGATTCTACTTGGTATACTGTTTTAAACAACATTAGAAGGCGCTCAAGCGTCTCAAGCTGTCGATGGTAAGAGCGCCGCCAATACGAGAAATCTCAAGTGCCTTTTCAAGTCAATTGATTGTCACTATGTTCTCCTTTAATCGTCTCTGAATTGTCCCTTTTTATGCTCTAACGCATTTGCACTTCGTGTTGAGACACTTAATTGCCTTACTTGACCCTCTAGCAGTAATCTGTTAGATTTTCGCACTAAAGTGCTTAACTAGTTGGCACCTGCAGGAATGTCCAGAAGCTCTGTTTGGTATAGAAAAGGCTGTACACATTTAGTTTGAGGTCATTCTCAGCTACTCCTGTGCATGCCTCACAATTAGACACATCTTTGGATAAATTCCATGCTTCTGTTGGTTCTGCCATCTGTCATGTCTTGTGTTACTTGGTGGTACATAGTCTCTACCCGGCAGAAGGTTTTCGTTTCTCGCTCGCATTTTACGTTCCTGAATGCCACCAAGTGAGTTTGGTCTGGTCTTAAAGCCTTCCGTTTGTCGTCGTATCTTTTCGAAGAATTTTCGAGTGTTACCCTTGTGGGGCTGCTTCTTAAGCTACTCGTACTCACGCATTTCAGCCCTTTTCTTTTTTTGTCAGCAGATGCGTCTTGCTTCCCTCTTTAGCTCTCGGTATCTATCTCACCTCGCACGTGTTGTAGTCGATCGCAAGTTTGCGAGGTAGGCAGTCTGTTTACTCTCCACTGCGACATGGCAGTCCTCATCGTACCAGCCGTTTTTGCAACCTTTCAGAAATCCTACAGTTTCGTTTGCTGCTCTACATAGTTAGTTTTAAATGCCGTCCCACAGTTCCCTTATACCGGTCTGCTGATGAGTGCTCTCAGAGAGCTGGAGAGTATGTCGAGTGGAAACCGCTCGGCAGTCTGTAGGGATTGCAGCTTTTCAAAGTCGAACCTTCCTGGTGTTTGTTGATTTCTTGTGTTGAAATCTAGTGCTGGAGAGAAGTATATTTCTGATATTTCGAAGTCGTTCAGCCCCGGCCCGTTTGCGGATGTTTCGTCGTGTCGGCTGAATTTTCCGACTGTTGTTCCAAAAATACCTACTTTGCCCACCCTGACGTGGAAGTGGCCAAGCACAATTTTGACGCCACGAAGGGGGCAGCGCTTATAAGTGTGCTTGAGGCACCCAAAAAAGGCATCCTTTGTCAGACAACCCCTGCGGGTTAGGGGCTCAAGAATTTACCCGCGGTAAGGCATGCCTGTCGTAAGAGACGACTAAAATCCAATAGTTCTCGCGACAGTCGGGTCTTTATACCGGAACGACCCGGATTTTTATCCGGCCAAGGACTGTCACTCCCGCACAAATTTCCCAAAAAGTACTTTGGGGAATAATTTTGCGGTTACAACAACAACAACAACAACATCCTTTGTCAGACCGTCCTCATCTTCTGTCGGAGCGTGGGCGCACATCAGCGCGGTGTTTTCATTTGGATTGGTGCGAGCTGTTTATCCACCAATGTGAATGCCAGTACTCAGAGACGTAGTATATCTATATATACCACGAATCCGACACCAGATTTGCGCTCCTTTATATGGCCGCTTCTAGTAAATTTCACAAGGACCTACTCGCTTTCTAACTTGTCTCTTCGATCGCATGTCGCTTTTAATTTTATGAGGACTTCAACCAGCTGGACAGCGGCTCGCTTCCAATTAAGATACCGGATATTACAGGTGCATGCCCTTAAACTTTCCTCTAGTCAGGTTTTTGTTATCGAGTACTCCGAGATACTTTAAAGAGCTGGAGGGAATAGCGTTTGACTGAAGAGGTATCAACGAAAAGGTCTTGTCTAAAATCGACACATCAGCAGCCAGACTTCTTATTTCAACCGCATGTTTATCTTCCTTTCTTCTTATATGAAGCTTTCAAGCAGCGGAAAATATTTCAATTAAACCGTTAACTCCTTATCGCTGCAATGTGGCGAAATTTAGATAAAGTTATTACCTCAGCAGAGCACTTGGTTCTTATTTCTCAAAACCAGCTTTGTCTTGCTCAGCTGTTGCCACTATTTTAACGAGAAGACCTCAACGACAAATTCCATAATCATTTCACCGGCACAGCGATATTTTGTTTGATGATTATTTTAACTGTACAATATTATTAGTGTTTATTTTAAATACACTTTACATAGATAGCTGTTCTCAGAGAATACATACAAACAAGTTTATGCTCATTTCAGCATGTCAGCGCAGAGAGTAGAAAGTTGCCTTCGCAGCGTAGCGCACGCAGCTCTACAGGAAATCAGGAAGGATAATAATATAAAATAAAATAAATAAACTGAGACGCTCAACACAACGCTTCGCAGCATTTCTTGTATAAAATAAATTTATACCTTTCTTTGCGTCGCTAAGCAAGTAAGCTAGCAGCCAGACGGTCAGGTAGCAAACTCTCAACCACTACCCTTCCACCGCACGTCTTGTGGCGTGAACCTTAATGTGCAGCATTTACCACTTTTTACGCTTTTAGCAGATTTTGAACGCTCTTCTGAACTGCAAGTCACAAATGAAGTGGCGTATAAAAATAGAAGCGAAGAAAAAGAGGAATATTGAAGTGGCATGAAAGTGGCAACTGGATCATGCTGCAGACACTGACTGGTGCCTTGTTGTAGCTCATTATGCGCTAACATTGCGCGCTAATAAAAAGTGGAATAACAAAACAGTTGGTGAAGGTAGACAAGGCGCCTAAATCAGCTTAGTTGGACTTTAAGTTTCCAGAAATTCCGTTTTGCATTCAAAATTTAAGAAAATTTGTAGTGGGAATATTCTGTCTTTAAAAATATTTAATTTTTTTATAGACACCAAAAGGACCATGATTCTCTCGAGGTATCTATATCTTGATTACCCAAAGTGTCATCGAAGGGATCATGTCAGTGTCTATGCAGCGTTATCATGAAGTAGGACGTAGTTGATGAGAGACTTGTAGGTTCCCCTCCTCGTCCTGCCACATTCTCAAAGTAACTAATGCGTGCACTTTTCCGGTCCTTCTCTGCCACGGTTGAATAGCTCAGTCGGTAAGCACTCATCTAACGCCGCTTTTTTGTCAAGTGATTCATTGTTTTCGGCTGTTACACTTTCACCACCACTCAGCAGAAGTATTTCCTCCTTAACCTTAGTACATTCCCAACATCGGCCATACAATTCTGAAAGTTGCTGCATCTTTTCTTTGAAATTGGAAGTATTACCCTTCTCGGACAGCTTCGATGTTCTGTCTAGGAACTGCGGACTCCTTCTTTGCCCTCTACATATGCATACTGCTTCACTTTTCAACATTTCGCAATTATCCCATCCCACCTGTGTTGTGGTCGAACGCAATGTTACGAGGTTAGTAGTCTTTCCTGTCTACGCTGCTGTTCGACATACTTCATGATATCAAATCTTTTTCCGTTGTTGTGGAAGCCGATCGTTTCAGTTGCGAAGCTGCGTGTAGACCTCGAAGTCCCGTTCAACAGTTCTTTTACAATGAGTTGTTGATGAGTGCTCTCGGGGATCAGCAGTGCAATTTAAGTAGAGGCCCGTTTGGCTGTCTATTGGGAATGCAGTTTTCTGGCGGCGAACCTTGTTTACGATTTTGTTGACGGACGTTGGCGTTCCGAGTCGCTGCTAGGACCTCGAAATGCATACACTTCATGATCTTTAGGTTCTTTAATGAGAGTGTGTACGCAGATCAGCGAAACGTTCAAGAACTTCGCTTTAATGTGGATTGCGGCAGTTCGTTCGTGCACCGGGGTGCACCATAGCGCTCGGTGTCTGAGTTGCTATTACATAACAATCCAAAATAGAATTTCCACTCCTCTATATAATCACTTTAATAAAAAGTCACAAATACCTGACTTTATCTATATTTGTCCCTCTCATTGGCGGTGATGTCGGCCTAGCTTTTGATGAGGTCATCAACCAACTGGAAAGCAACACTTTCCCAATGAAGGAAGTGGACACTAAAGGTGCATGCCCGTAAGTCTTATTTCTTATAAAATTTGATATATACGTCATCAGAAGTGGAGACTCGCAGCCGAGGCATTGTTAGCTGTGGAACGGATTTCTACGGGGTGGGTTCCAAATCCAGCCCAAAAGTATTATTTGGATTCTGCACACTTTTGACGAGCGTATCGCTTGCTTCGAGGCCAATAGTTGTTCACAGCTGCAACTCTGGAGAGCAGACGCTACAATTAGACTTCCGTACCTCACCCTTAATTCAAAAATTTCGGCTATGATCACGCTGAAATTTCCCTTCTTTTAGTTATGGATTCCGCTACTTGTACAAGGAGGCTCGCAGAAATTTGAAAACACCCCAGTAAAGAATTTCTTCTACATGGTAATTAAATAACTTTCTAATTGTGAACAGGTGGCAGCTCTCCCTAACTAAATTTCCAACCTTTGGGTACTCTTACTTCATTGTAGCATGATATATATTTCATATTGCAGCATTTATTTTATTTCATAAGTTTAAAAGCATTCAAATTTAAGTTAGGTGGCAGCACTGTTAAGTAAATATTTTTTTAACTTTCGCTTTTTAAATTTCAATTTTTAATTTAATTTTATAATATTAATTTCAAAATAGGTAATAATGCTACTTATTTAATTTCCCTCAATAAATTTTGTAAATCTGTGGCAACCCTTATCATAAATATTTTTGACTTCAAATCTTCGTAATTGTATGGCATTCATATCCACCTGGTAATATGTGTTTATAATATATCAATAATATAAAAGTTTAATTAATAACTTGGAACAGGTGGCAACTTTCCTACAAAATATTTTCAATATTTTTAATATTTTGGTCTTTGTAGGTCGTTTAAAATATTGCCTTGAATCATTTAATACAGAAATTTGTTCATAAATATAAATCAATTAAACTTTAAAATAGGTGGTAACTCCGATAAATGGATATTTTTAAACATAAGCCCTTTTAAAATTATATTTCTTGTTTTCTTATGTATTTCGCACGTTTAGTAAATTGGTTTGATATAAGCGAAAAGATATAAACTCTCTTCAGTTTATTTAAAATTATTATTAGATAATTCAAATTTATACTTTTCTTCCATCAATAAGTGGCAACCCTATTAAAAAATGCTTTAAAATATTTTTACGATGAAGATAGCACTGCATAGCAATTTTTATTAATTATATTAAGATTATTTCATTAAAAAGTGGAACAGGTGGCAACACCTTCTAACAATATTTTTCACCATAGACTAGTTTCAACTCTCTTCACAATGACATTTTGTATATACTTCGTATGACACATAATTTTTTTTTATTTATGTAGGTGGCAACCCATCTTTATTTCTGCCAATCATTTTAATATTTTTCATTTTGATATATTTTTAATTATATATCAATTCTTTACACTACTTTGATGTACCGAAATATTATTCATTTGATTGATATATTTACATTCTTAATTTACGTCAGAACGAAGAGGAGAGTACCGATTTGTGACTATATAACGACCGCAGCACCACCTAGCGAGTGAAATTTTTGAGCAGCGCAGTTCCCATCAGCGGACTGACGAGTGATCTACATATGAGCTCAGCCCACTAAATTTATGGTATCAAACAAACATTTACAATTTTTTAGTCCCACAACATTTGATGTAAAAAAATACTTTCTAGAGCATTGAAATTGATTCAGTTGTTTGGTTAGGCGGAAGATATTTCATTTTTATATAATAATCAACAAAATCAACACATAGATCCTTATAATCGTTTTAATTAATTAATGAAAGTGCAGCGTTTTTGCAATATATACAAAAGCAAAAAAAAAAATTAATAATAATATTTGGAAAAAACGTATGAAACAAAGAAGTAACGAAAATCGAAAGAAAATTAAATTTTTTTCGATTATTCAACATACCCAAACTGCGATTCCAGCCAGACAATTCCGTTACTATTGCTGTGGTGGGTGTAGGCATTTCTGCAAAACAATAAAAGAGAAGAGTTAAAGCAATTTTTTATATATATATATATGTACACAATTCATGCATTTTTTACAAACAGATTGCGTATAGCTTAAAAAAAATTATGTTATATTAATATTTTTAATTGATCTCTTATATTTTTTGTTTGTTTTTTATATGTTTATATATATATATATATATTTATATTTTTTTTATTTTTTTTTTTGTTATTTTTATTCTTATCTGATAAAATTTTTAATATTGTAATAATTGTTTTTTTATATTATTCGAAATAATAAATTTTATGTTTTTATAATATTTTTTTTAACTAATTTTTGATTAATCTTTACAATTTTAAAAACTTTTTATTATTTATTTTGTTTATTTTTTATAAATTTCTGGGAAATTGTTCCAGTTTTCGTTCTTGTTGGATTCTTACTCTGCTACCTTTTCGGGTTCCAAGTAAAATACGCTTGCTTCTATGCAATTCAGTATAATAAGTATAAGTGTTTATTCAACAGTTAGAAATGAAGGACTGACTGAATGTTCTCGGTTTCAGTTATTTCAAAAACATTACAGGGTTGCATAATATGTTAGTTGCTAATAGGGTTACATTTCAACAGTTCTGTATATTTTTTATATTTTTTATTCTTTTATTATTATTTCCTTTATTTTTTATAAACTTTTTATATTAGTTTTATTCTCTTATTCTAATAATTTTATTTTTGATAAGACTTCATGTTTTTCATTTATAGTTTTAAACCACTTTTTCCAATAAATTTTATTGTTCTTTCTTTATTAACTATGTTTTTGTTGTTTATTTTAATTTTAATTTTAATTTTTCTTTATAATATTTGTTTTTTTTTACTTATTCTTAAAAAATTTTTTTCATTTCTTTTATTAATTTTTATATTTATTATATAAATTTTTAACATGTTTTATTGGTATTTCTATAAATTATAAATATATATTTCTTTATTTTTATTTATAATAAAACTATGTATTTTTTTTATATTTAATATTTATTTTTATAATAATTCTAGTTTTATATTTATTATTTTATTCACTACTCTTCTTTTATTTTTTTTCATTTTTTTATTTTTTTTGTTGCTAATAATTTTAGTTTTTATGATTTTATTTTTTAATTTAAGTCTTAATTTTAAACATTTTTTTATTTTTTTTTCTTCCGTTCTTTTCTATTTGTTTTTAATTTAAAGTTATAGTTATAGATCTTTTTTTTTGAATTCTTTATTTTTCGTTATTCTTTTAATTTTATTTATAATTTTATATATTTTTTATTTAAGTTATTATGTTTTTTTAAATTTTTGTTATAAAAAATTCTGATTTTATTATTTATTCTCTTAAAATTTTCCTAATATGTGTCATTGTCTTTATTTTTTTTTTATAAGTTTCTGTTGTATCTTTTTCTTTTATTGTATTACATATATTTTTTACAATTTTAGTTGTTATCCTTTTATTTTTTAACATAATTCTTCGTTTTGTAGTTTTTTTTTATTTTTCTTACATATATTTATATAATTTTTTTTATTTTTTGACCAGAGATATCTTTTTTTTATATATTTTTTGTTTTTCTGTTATTTTTATTTATAAATTTTTCTTATATAGAGATCTCTTTTATATATTTTTTATTTTTCTTTTAATTTTTTATATTTATTTATATACGTTTTAATATTTTCCTTAATATTTTGTGCTTTATTATTTATTTAAGTTATTTATACTAAAAATATATCTTTTTTTATGTGTATCCTATGAATTTCTTTCATTGTAAAGCGAATTGTGCTTGGGTTAAACAAACTTTTATGATTTTTTCGTTATTTTGTCTAATTTCTAGCTAGTTGCTAAATATTTTTTTTGTTTTTTTTTTTTAATTTTTTAAAATTATTAATTAATTTTTTTTATCATTTTTTTATAGTTCTTTACTTGTTATAAATTTTTTGAATGTCACATTATTTTAATGTTCTTTTTAATTCTAATTTTTCTTATTTTTTTTTAAATAATTCTAATATTTTTTTCTCAGCTCTATTTTATCTGCCTTAATCAATTCATATCTAAAGCGTTTGGTATTTCAAATTAATTTTAGCTTTTAAATAAAATTCAATGGCATTCAAACTGTTTGCTTTTGTTGTAATTTTGATTCCGTTAACATTATGAGTGGTGGAGTGACAGCACAAATTTCAATACATTTTACCTAAATTTCGATTTTCAATGCGTTTTTTGCGCGTTTCAACAATTTTTTTTTTTCGATTTTGAAATCAACACTACTACCAATGCAGTTATGCGCAACATTTATTTTATTATCACTATTTTTTTGCCTTCCCCCTTGCAATTCACTCCACAATTTCACTTTCCATTTCAAAGCATACACACGTACACTTTTCATCGAAACCCACTCCAAATGCTTTTGACACTCTCCAAGCTGCCTCTGAACACTAATTGCATGCGAGTAACTATTGGTATGTATGTATGTGTGTATGTATATGTGTATTTAAGAGAACTTTATATAGTTGATATAGCGTAGAGTTGCATAAAGTACACATTCTGTCGTGTCGTGTCTCCTACGTACCATCAAGTTTAATGTTGCCATCCGTTTCGCCCAATGAATTTTTAGCGACGCATCGATAAGTACCAAAATCGTTGGGGCCCACTGAGCGTATTTTTAATTTCATGTATTTCGTGTAACCACTAACAGTTGAGGTTGTCTCGTATTTGTCGCCAGCACGTGAGGTATCTGAAAGGAGAAGAGTAGTTGAGAGAGGAAATAATAAAAATTAGATTTTATTGCGAGCATACATACATATATACAGACAGAGTAGGGTTGAAAATTAACAATTAAAGTAGAAAGGAGAGAGTTTAAAAATCAAAAATATCTTTTCAGAATAAAAAATTTATAAGGGGCAAGCTTATATTTTTTCACGTAGAGGCTTTAACAAAAAGCTGGACTCACTACAGACAGCCAGCATTTTTTTAAGTTCGACACGCAGACCTGCTCTCTGAGAGAAATACTCAGCAACTCAAGGGAACAGTGAAACGACTATTGGTTTTCGACAATGTCGGAAGCCGAGTTGGTACAGTGAGATATGTGGAACTGCAGTTTAGCGGCAACAGACTGCCATCGAAGTTAACATATTAGAAGTCCCATAGTTTCCGGTTTCAGAATAGGTAAGCGAGTCACATTTGCATATGGAAAATTAAGAGACAGAGGAGAGAGAGAGGCCTAAATGTGTTTGAGAGATGAAAGAATGCGGTGGTTTCACAAGCTATGAAGGCCAGAGCTTAATTAGTAAGTTAAACAGTTTGCTCAGTCACAGAAACCTGATATCTATGCTGGTTCTGTGATTCAAATTCCTCACCTTTTCAAACGGACTGCACTGAGAGCTGAGCAGTTACAGAGGTAATGTTTTACAGCTTTGGCGAAAGTTATTTCAGTGGCAACCCATCCGTCAGGTTAATATGCCAGCTTATGCCTCTTATGGAGGCCCTGTTTATAAAGAATAAATACTAAGTTCAGCTTAGCTCGATCAATGGTCAGACTTATTTCGTCACATTGGACATGAATTCACTCTGGTGAAGGTCAGTCTTTACACAAACTTGGCCGAGAAATGAGATATGCCCACGTCACGTGCAGAGTTCGCTATCTGGTCAGTGCGTTGGCTAGCAGCAACCCAAAACAAACCGAAACACGGGCGTTTTGCATATAGTTCTTTGCATTTTACTGCTACCTTTGAGGCGGTATGTTGAATTAGAGAGACTGTTAGAATATATTGTAATATTTCGGGTTATAGTATTAGAAACGAGCAACCCTTAAGCGGCTGCAGTTAACGCGCTTAGTTCTGCTTGAAGAGTGTTCTGATTGTCGGGCAATTTCTTGCTCATGTTGCTTGAAAGAGTTTAGGTGAACTCTTCCACCAACTTTACCATTTAGTTTTGAGCTCACGGTGACGGATCTTTGATCCAGAACTATTACATTTTCTCATTCGCGTTTCTCTAGGTATTTTTTTTTTTTTTTTTAAGAAAGTGTGTTCGAAGCAGAAGACAGAAGTGGTATAGTCCACCTTTTCGGATAATGATGAAGAACTTATTATTTGGCTGTGTCCCCCAACTTGTGTAGCTCTGACAATCTGACAGAGCACGCTGACTTAATGAAGGGACCTCTTCTTCAGACCGCTGAAAGGAAGTGGAAGTGAAGCATCAGCAGATAGCTTCCCGTACTCTCAAATAACTTAAAATATATCTCCTTTATATCCATTCCTTGCTCTTGAGCTTTTTGCCGGAAACATTAAAGCTCCATCAGGAACGGGAAGGACCTCTTCAAATCTTTCGGTACTAAACAAGGCTCAGAAAAATGTGCCTCTTTAACTTATACTCAACCTGTAATTTTTACTTGAGCCTACAACTGCTGTAGTAAGTGAATGATGTTGACATGTCATTGTTGTTAAAACCCGCGCCGTTAGTTATGATTTCTTCAGACTGGATAAGGAAGCTTCGCAAATGGATCCAGTAGAGAACGAGGCTAAGCTGAAGTTTTCTGACATCAATCAAACGGACATCGTAACCAAGTCGATGGGCTGTTATGGCGAGCTTTTTTTCATGAAAGAAATTTACTCGGAAGGATTGACATTCCTCGAGAGTAGACGAAAAAACAACGAAAAAACCTTCACGAACCAAATTTCCAACTGAGAATCGCAGCTGTATTATATCCAAATCGACTCATTCCTGAAGCGGCTGCTGACTGTGGATAAAAAGTGAATCACTTATAGTAAAGTCAAACAAAAAACGGTTGCGGGTGGAGAACAGTGAGTCGGTGCAAACGGTCTCCAAGATAGAAGTGAGATGACCGTGAAGGTTATGCTGTGCATTTGGCGGGATTCACAAGGGAACATCCACTAAGGGCTGCTCTGTTACGACCAAACTCTTAATTCGGACTGAACTGTCGGCAATTGAACTCTCTCTGACTGAAGCAAGCCACCCGAATTGCCCAGCTTACGACAACAGGGGTGAAATTGTGCAACGACAGAACACACATATAAGAGAGCACACATAAGAGAGCCTGGTTAGTAGATTCATATGCATCCACCTTATAGTAAGGACCAAGCACAAAGGGATCTCCAACCAACTGTTTCTGTTTATGATTTGGTGAAAATTTGGACTCAAGATCATATCAGAGGGTTTGACATACCCTGCCGAGGGGCGACCGCAATTAGAAAATTTATCTGAATTTTTTATTTAAATTTATTTTATATAATTTTTAGAACAAGTGGGACTGGAACTCAAGCCCAGAAAGCTAAAGCAGCGTGCGCATATATATATATATATATACAATATATATATATACTACTCCATATGAGAACACTTTCATTATATTAGTCTTTTGGCACAATTTAAGTGAAACAAAAAAAAAATATATATATATATATATATATACATATTCGCATAGATATAGCTGTGTACTATGCTGTTTGTGTTAGCACGCAAATGAATAATTTCCTTTAACAAAATTTTCCAAAAGCTTTTTCGCCTACTTCTTATATATATGTATTGTACATATATTTTTTTTTTTGTTATACTCTGACCGGGCACTGGTGTACCAAGGTATTTTAGCTTCTTTTAGCTCTTATTATAGTTATTTTTTCTTTTAGATGTCACATACACGTACACATCTACATATGTTTGCGTTTTCATGTGTGCTGACATATTCACAAACATATATATGAATATGTATGTATGCATATGTTTGTAAAATAAGGTCACAAAACTTTTAATAACTCAAAAGATTATATTCATGTATACATATGTATATTTGTATATATGTATATATGTATGGAATGTTGTATTTATAAGAATTATTACCACTTTTTCTAACTTTATTTTGCCGCCGCAAACGAAATCGCACGTGCAACGTAATGCTCACATGCGAGTTGATATATATGACGATGTGTGTTCGTAAGTTCAGATATTTGCTATTAATACAAGCTTAAGTTTCTCCCACCACCCGCTGATATGCAGGTCTATTTAAATACTTTTATTGTCATACTATTTTTCTTCCATTTTTTTTTTGTTTGTTTATTTTGTTTCTCCACACATGAAAATGAGTTTTTGATTCATTTCTTCGTTTGTCTTATTTTTATTGAACAAACAAATAATTATTAACGTATAAAAATGTGGATATAAATATATTTGTGTGATATATTGCTGTGTCATAAAAGCCTTGCTGTGACAACTGTCTATATATGCACACAACCATACCTTGTAGATAGGTTAAGTAAATTTTATTTCTTCTCCAACTGTCTTTATTACATTTTTATTGTTTTCTATTTTATTTTATTTTTTTCATATCAATTTCAGCTCTTGCGCCAATTTATTTGCGGCGCTGCAGCGAAGGTTTTGTTCATTAATGCGCACCGTATAGCAAAATGTTGCTGGTGAATATGGAAAATTTTTAACTGTCGCATGTCACATATGGCATGTCATTTGTGAGCTATGGGCTGACGACACACATGCAATTTGTTTCACCAAATTTTCGCGCATTTTGTTTATTTCTTTTTCGTTTTTAGGTTAGTTTATGTCTCCTTTAACAGACAGCCTTGAGCATATTTGGTGGCAGTCAGCAGAGAAAAAAATGTTATTTGATACTGTCATTCAATCAAATAATATTTACATCGTAGCAGTAGGCATATGTATAATTTTATTCTTATATAAAATAGCTTTATTTAGACAATTTCTATAACAATTTGATTACTCCAAAATAGTCTTTCCTATAAACGTAAAATAATAATATTTATTAAAATAATTGCTCGAAACCAAAGCTGTATATTAATGTAAAATTTCACGTTTATCAAAAAAAAAGTCGAAACATTTGGAAATATCATCATTTATTAGCAGTTATAACACAATTTCATTTCGTTTTTACCCGAAACAGAAAGCTGTAATGTTAAAACGTTAACAGTTAATGTTAAATGTTAAAATTGGACTGAGCTGCTGTTGAAATGCTGTCGTTTATGTTAAAGCGTTAACAGAAATTTCGATATTTTATTTTTGTTCTCTAACAAAATTTTCAAATGAATTTTTTCCCAATAAGATCGAATGTTAAATGTTAACATTGCAGTGAGCTGTTAATATTATAACAAATATTATAACAGGCAACCATTTTTTAAATTAGTGTTAACGCTGAGTTTGTGTAATGATTTTATAATCAAAGGCATGAATAAATTGAAATAAAGTAAAACTAAATAAAGTTAAATAAAATTAAATAAAATAAATTAAAATAAAATAAAATAAAATAAAATAAAATGAAATAAAATAAAATAAAATAAAATAAAATAAAATAAAATAAAATAAAATAAAATAAAATAAAATAAAATAAAATAAAATAAAATAAAATAAAATAAAATAGAATAAAATAAAATAAAAAAAATAAAATCAAATAAAATAAAATAAAATAAAATAAAATAAAATAAAATAAAATAAAATAAAATAAAATAAAATAAAGTGGTATAAAGTGGTATAAAAGAAAAATGAATAAAATAAAATAAAAGGAAAAAAAATAAATTAAAATCAAACAACAAAACAGAGTATAGTAAATTCAAATATAATAATATTTTTTTGGCTGAAAATCGTTATCTAGCTCCGAAAGCGATGCCTAGTCATCAACAATCCTAACAAACATTTCACCAAGCAGCCTAAAGATGATAAGAACAAGATAAGAGTGTTATTGTGGTACCAGAGGGGTGT